AGGCCAGCCTGGGCAATTTAAATTGTGGGGGTAGGGTTAGCTTTTAGTGCTCCCTGGCTTTAGTCACCAAAATACTTCAGAAATAGGAAAAAGAAAAGAAAAACACTGCCCAGGAAGAAACTTCATTCAGGAATGTAATATTTAAGAGTTTATCTGAATTCAGTCTTCAAAAATACTTCACTTAACATTAGTGCTATGAAAAGAAAACCTTTTCTGTAAAGGGTCAGATAGTAAATATTTTATTCTTTAAGGTCTACATATGGTCTCCTTTACATATTCTCTTTTATTTTTTATGTTTTTGTACTGGGGAGCGAACTCAGGGCCTTGTGCTTGCGAAGCAGGCACTGTGCCGCTGAGCTAAATCCCCTACCCATATTCTCTTTTTTTTTTTTTGGTACTGGGGATTGAACTTGGGTCCTTGTGCTTGCGAGGCAGGTGGCGGAACCACTGAGCTAAATCCCCAGCCCCCCCATATTCTCTTTTAAACAACCCTTTAAAACAAATTTTTTTTAAACTAACATCCATACTTTATTTAGATTAGTTACTTTTTTTTTTTCCATTAAGTTTATTGGTACATTTTAGGTATATACAGTACAGTTACATTCATCATTGGGAACTTGTACCTTTGCATGATGTATCTTGGTTCTTATTTTTCACCATTCCCTGCCTCCTTTCAACTCCTCCACCCCTCCCTATTTACAAAGACTTTGTTTCATTTTTTCCTTTGCTTTAAAAATTAAAAAAAAAATTTTTTTCATCCTCAGGCCTCACAAAACTAAGTAGTTTGCCAAGCCTTTATTAGAATTGTTGATCCATGAAAATGCTCCTTATTTACTGTTGGATCTTTCATCATTTAAATTGAATTCCCTTTGATGGAGTAATTTAAGTAACTTTAAGGAAAGTTTTGTTTTGGGAATTAAACTCAAAGCCTTCCCTTTATTTTTAAATTTCTTGTTTTGAGACAGGATCGATCTCTCTCACCAGACTACTAAATTGCCCGGTCTGGACTGGAACTTGCAATCCTACTGCATCAGCCTTCCAGAATGCTGGAATTACAGCCGTGTGCCACCATGCCCAGCTAGAAAAGATAATTTGAGGGGAAGGGGTGAGACAGGGTCTTGCTGTGTAGTTCAGGCTGGCTTTGAACTCACTGTGTAGCCCAGGCTGGTCTTGAACTTGCTCCAGCCTCCTACCTCAGCCTCCTGAATGCTGGGATTACAGGTGTGCACTACCACGCCTGGCTAGAAAAGGCAATTCTTAATGTTGTGCAGTACTTGGAACTGAATCACAACAAATAAGTGAGATTTGCCACAGAATATATAGCATTCTGGTTATATGACTTGTGACATAGGCTGTGCCCTGTAGGTCCCTAAAAAGTACTTTGTATATTTTGAACAGATGTGTGCTTTATCGTGAGTTTTCTTAAATCTTATTCCCAAAAGATTTTCTTTTGGTTGGGCTGGGGATTTAGCTCACTGGTTCCGGCACCTGCCTTGCAAGGGCAAGGTCCCAAGTTCAATCCCCGGTACCAAAAAAGATTTTCTTTTGGGGGAAGAATTTCAATCATTATTGACTTTCTTTTTTCATTGGTAAATATTAATAAGAATTTTAAAAATTGTGGCATAGAATTTAAAGACAAGGCCTTATTAAATATATTTAAAATTATTTATATTCATAATTCTAATTGACATATTTGTTTTGAATGTTTTTATTTCTAGGTTCCCGCGGGGCTTTCTGTGAAGTGAGACCAGATGATAAAAGAATTCTGGAGTTTTACAGCAAGTTAGGCTGTTTTGAAATTGCAAAAATGGAAGGATTTCCAAAGGATGTGGTTATACTTGGTCGGAGCCTGTGACATTTGTTGGCAGTGTGAACTGTCAGTCTGAACTCCACCTGTGGTTGGTAGTTGGGGTCTTCAGACAGCTCAGCTTCTGGAGCAGCAACAAATCAGCCAGTTGAAGTGGAAACCGAAGACTGTACAGTTCACCTGTCACACAGAGACCACTGGCTGGCCGGAAGAAGCTAGCATTGTTGCGAGTCCTATGTAACAGAGCTCTGGGCTCCTCTCTGGCTCTTGTGTCTCATCTTGGGTCCCGAGACCTCTTATGTGGGCTTCTGTAGGGAGAAGGGTCTTGAATAAATGTAGTCAGCACTGTTTTCTGCATCCAGTGTGATGGATTTCTCACCTAAGAGAATCACAATTACTTGGTTTAGTAAATGTCTCATTCTTCGTAGACATGGCAGAGATGAGAGAAAAACTTAGTGTGTTTCAGAAACTTCAGGTTGGATGTTCCAAGTGGGATAGCTGTGGCATTAGTTTAAGCTAAATAAATGTTTTCAATTTGGGACAATTTTTTGCTTTTTGTAAAGCCATGCCCAACTGTCTCCTGTATGGACCATTGGCTTGGGCATTTTGTGCTTTGTAGGGACAGTGCAGTTGTTTTTGGCAGAAGCCTAAAATTGATACATTGTAAATTTCTGTGTATATAAACTAGCTGTAACCTGATTATCTTTTGTTGACCATTTTTGTAATTTTTTTCTTTATAAAATGAAAAGGTGTTGGTTTTAGATGGCACTTTGAATAATGTAAATTAGAGGAAGTTGGGGGGGTTTCCTTTTTTTTTGTTTAAGAAGCTTTATTTTTTAATGTGTTTCCCACATAGGTAGAGACCATGACCATTTTGGGTACAAGACCCTAACTTCATAGGACTCAAATCTGTTGCAAAGTGAGGTTGCTTCTGAAAATTAACTTCCATAGCAGATCAGTGTGAAGTGTTAGTTTGGACATCTGTCAAGTAGGGTCCGGGAACTGGCTGGTGTCATTTGCTCTTGGATCAGGTGTCCTTCAATCTCAACACCTGTTACTACTGGTTTAAATCAGTCTTTAATTCTTGCATGTTTTATCTAATTTTTAAAAGAATGAGCACACTAGGTTACCCATTTCTTTTTTCATTAATCACAGAATCTGAAAGCTTCATGTGTTTTAATTTAGATTTGGTGTTTTTAAGGATTCTGAGCATGAGGCTGGCAGGTAATCTCTGCAGGATTCATTTTTTTCATCATGGCTGGCTGACTTCTCCCTAGATTTGTATCAGTGTATTGTTACCTTGCTTACTTACAGTTTTGCATCATCTGTTTAATTTTGAGCTGTGTGAAGGACAAGGAGAAGGGAAATTGAACTGCTTCCTTTGTAGAATTCCGCTAGAGTGGGCTTTGAGACAGTCTTAAAGCACTGTACCTAGTGACTTCCAACCCAAGGCCTATGAGTGTGTTGAGTGGGTGAGGAGAAAGAACTCTTTGTTGTTAGGATAGACATCTTTAAACGACAGGATGTGGTGTGTTGTAGGCTGAAACCAAGTTTTCATTTTTGAGGGCTGAGGTGAAGGAAAGATCCCTGCTCTAGATAGTGTTTTAAGACAGTTGAATGTTCCTCAGTTCTCTTTTTGAATATATCTCAAGCACTAGTAGATTATGTATTACAGCATTATTTTATCTGGAGGACTTCCAGGTCAATCTCATATGGAATTAGGATTTTTAAACAAGTTCATTTTGGTTTTATCTTGGCTTTTAATTACTTTGACTGGTCTTCTGATCACATACATTAAAATGTGGATCAGATGTCCAGGTCTGTACTTTACCTTCATCACTCTAGGACTGTAAAGTGCTATGCCGTCATCCGTGGTTAGGAGTATTAAGGTTGGAATGACATTTCATTGTTTAGATCACAGCTCAGTTCCTGTAGAATACGAACTGTAAAACTATCTGAAGACCATGTAAGAGGCAAAATAAAACTTGGAGTGAATGTGTGTTGTCCTGTACTGCGTGCACCTACTTACTGTCTACCCTCTACCTTTTCTCTGGTCTCTTAACACCTCACCTATGAGCACGTTAGAGTGGATCTTGAAGGCAGTCCTCTTACTCCTATGCCCAGTAAAGACATTTCCTTAGACTTTCCTCAAGGCAAGGCAAAAGCTAGGAAAAGCAGACTAGTTTTTAGCTAAGCTTCCCTTTTCAAGTTACACCCAGAGTAAAATAGGGCAGTCACTGAGAAGTTCTTTCGTCTTAACAGGGAATGCAGTTGGCCTGATTCTGTAGTCAGAAGGGGCCAGATTGGGGAAAAGACCTGAGTGGTGTGAAATGGACAAAAATTTAAAATGCAAGGATGTTCTTGAGCTGATTAGGAATCAGAATCCCAAAAGAAAGTGGATCTGCCAGCTGCAGCAGTTGCATCCCACAATCAGCTGACTGCAAACACCACCCTGCCCTCTGAAGGCCAGTGGAGATGCACCATGTGCACTGGTGGGGCGTCAGGGTCTTAGGGCGGGGAAGCAGGTCTAGGAGAGAATGGAGGGGTGTGTGGAAGTTCATGGAGCCCCAAGTCTGCTGCGGGCTCCACAGAGGTAGACCCTAGCACTTTTTTTGTTTTTGGTACCAGGGATCGAAGTCGGGACCTGGCGCTTGAGAGGCAGGTGGTGGAACCAATGAGCTAAATCCCTGGCCCTAGCACATTTCTTTTTGACAAGCGCCACCTGGTGCGGGAACCGGACACGGGAGCCCCCGGGTCCGAGTCCCACCTGAGCAATTAGGGAGATGGGCTCAGAAATAAGGGGTGGGGTCAGTACGTGTACCTAGTTCAGTATGAAGGCCCTGGGTTCAATCCGCAGTATCAAAGAAAATGCTACTCTGAACTCCGTCTTGGTGAAAGACCGGAAAAGGAAGTAAAGTACATTTTTAAATATATACCCCTTTTATCGAAAGCTTACCCTGGGGCGGAAACACTAGAGGCTGCAATAACCTGGAGAAAATGGGAGCCCACTTGGCCGTGGGACGATAACGTTAACACCAAGGCCCAATCTACACTGTGCTGCCTTTTTTTGTTGTTATCTAGAATAAAATTCAGGACCTTGGCGCTTGCGAGGTAGGCGCGGTGCCCCTGAGCTAAATCCCCCAGCCCAGACTACCGAGGCTCGGGCCCTTTAAGGGGCGGGGCCGGAAGCTGTTGGGTTCCGCACACGTGGGGGCGGGGCCTACGGACGGCTTCACAGCATGGCCGCCGCCGCCGCCGCCGCTGCGGGGTTCCTGAGCTCCGAGAGCCGGGTCCGGGCCGGGGCTGTCGGGGGCCTGCGGATCCCGGCCCCGGTCACCATGGACAGCTTCTTCTTCGGTACTGGGGAGAGTGGGGAGGGTAGAGGCGCGGGAGTGCGCAAGGCTGCAGCGTTCCGAGTGTGCGCGCCGAGGTGCCTGGCCCGCAGCCGCCGGAGCCCGAGCCTTGCCGCCGGCTTCCCGGGGGTCGGGGCGGTGCTGGGCGGCCCGGGCGTCGGCACACGCGGACGGACCTCGCCGCCCCCTCGCACGCAGCGACCCTCCGCGCGCGCCTCTCTCCTTGCAGGCTGCGAGCTCTCCAGCCACGCCCGTTCCTTCACCTTCAAGGTCGAGGAAGAGGACGACGCAGAGCACGTGCTGGCCCTGACCATGGTGAGGAGCGGGCGCCCTGCGGGAGGCGCCGAACCCTGGCCCGGGCTGGCCGCGGCCGGCCGAGTAGGCTTTTCTCCGTGGGTGAATCCCGCGAGGAGACCTGAGGCTGCCTCTGCCCCTTTCCAGCTCTGCCTCACCGAGGGAGCCAAGGACGAGTGTAACGTGGTGGAAGTGGTGGCCCGGAACCACGACCACCAGGAGATCGCAGTCCCTGTGGCCAACCTCAAGCTGTCTTGCCAGCCCATGGTGAGTCCAGCCTCCTTGGGGCCGGGTGGGCGTGAGGGCTTCCGTACTCACCACGGGGTGGGTTGGGCACGAGTGGGCAGGCCTCATCCATGTCTTCCTCCCAGCTCAGTTTGGATGACTTTCCGCTCCAGCTGCCTGTGACCTTCCGCCTGAAATCGGGCTCTGGCCCGGTGCGGATTACCGGGCGGCACCAGATTGGTGAGAGCAGGGCCGGCCCGCTGCCTCGCCCCCCGGGGACTCGCTCTACATCCTCCTCCGGCACTCCCCCGTCCAGACCTGCATGCCCGCCCCGCGGTGCCCTGAGCTCCACGTCCTCTCCACCCGGCCCCACCAAGCCTCCTGCTTCCTGCAGTCTGCCCATTTCCCCAGCTCCAGGCATGTGGACTCCTTTGGCTTTCTCACCGCCTCTTCCCACCTAGACTGATCCCTGAGAAGGCCGGGTCCCCTCCAGCTTAGCACTCAGGGCATAAATAAGTGGCGTGCAGGCCAGACCTGGCTTTAACAACCCCCTCTCCTGCTTCTGTGTCCGCCAGTCACTATAAGCAATGATGTTTCTGAGGAGGAAGAGGAAGCTGAGTTGTGCCCCATCCTTCCTGCCAACAAGCAGGGGGCCGGGCCCTAGCCCTCCTCGGTGAGTGGGAGGCAGGGGTGCCCAGTGGGTCCGGAGGGCCAGGAGGGCAGGTGAAAGCCTAGGCACTGATGCACCTGCTTTTTCAGGTCAGGCAGCTTCTGCTGCATGTGCCATGCCCAGTGTTCCTGGACGCGTTTCAAGAACTGTAAATGTTTCTTCTCCGTGGAAGAGAGAGAGTTCTGGAGCAGAGATTGGGTGGGAGGGACCTGGGCCGGTGCTAGGAGAGAAGGGGGCTTTGCCTTTGGACCTGGGACTCCCCTTTCTGTAAGGTAGGAGGGACTCTGAACTTCTATCCTGACCCTCCCTCCCCACCTGCCTGTGAGGATTGGACGTTGGTATCTGCAGCTCTTTTTAACACTTTTTACATTTTTAGATAAAGGCTGAAATAAAGTGATGTGGGTTTTTTGCAACTCATTTGTGTGGCTTCTAACTGTGCGCAGGTGACATTTCCCTAGGGACCACCAGGTGGCGCTCTGGCAGCATAAAGGGTGACGTGGGCCTGGGGACCCTTGAAGGAATGGGGACCGCGCCATCCCCCGGGACCCCCGCCGCCTTGCTACAGGGGGCTGTCCCTTGGCCCTGCTCACTCCCGGGCCCTGCGGGTGGGGAGGCCGTGGCAGGAGGTTATCGGCGTCCAAACAAGGAGTCCAGGCCTCTGTCAGCACTCGGGCTGATGGGCAGGGGGCAGATAAGCGGGCTTAAGCGGCCTGAGGAATGTGCATCCCAAGCCCGAGAGGGGCTCAGGCCCAGAAAGGCCTGGAGAGGTGGGCCGGACCGGTCTTTGCTCCTCCTTCAGCCTTTCAGGCTGGGCCCTTAGAAACCTGACTCCCAGGGCCAGATGGAGAGGACTGGCCAGATTGGGTGACAAGGAAACCAGAGTCCCGTGGCCTGGCATATGGGGGCAGAGAGGATCCCCTGGGGATCAGCCTCCTGGGCTGCGGCCCCCACCCCCAGCCCGCCTCCGGTGTGGGGTCTCGGTGCTTGGAATCGGTTCTGAGGTGTGGCTTCTGCGCCCCAAAGAGAAGGGGGTGAGCTTGTGAGCAGGAGCGTGTGTGACCAGCTCTGGGGTCAGTAGTTCAACAGTTGTGTTGATAGGGGGTGTCCGTGGCCCACAAACAAACAAACAAAACGGCACCTCCGCAGACAGCCCGGGGCCAGTCAGGCTGAGGAGGGGCGGGTGCGGGCGGGACCCCTCGGGTTCCACAGCAGATGCCCGGCGAGCGGGCGCGAGCGGCCATGTCGGCGCCGGAGGACTGAGGGTCCGCGCCCCGGGAGGAGCAGCCTCCGCGCCCGTGGTGCGGAGCTAGGAGCTCCCAGTTTTCCCCCTCAAGTTGAGGACAAAGGGAGATGCGCCTCTGTGTGGCAGTGATCAGAGTCGCCGGCGCCTTTTCGTCCAAAGCGTCCGCACTGCCAGGCGGGCAGAGAGGCGGGACGGCTGGGAGCTCGTCGGCCCCCAGGGAGCAGGGACAGAAGGCCTGGCGCCCTCTAGCGGCCGCGTGTGGCGCTGCTCGCGGCGGCCCTGCGCCCCCAGGGCCCGGGCTCCCCAGGGCTCGGCGCGGGGCCTGTGAGGCCGACAGGGGCCCGGGCGGCTGTATTTAAGCTAAAGGCGAGGGAGCAAGTCCCTGAGGCTGCACGCGTCCATGTACTGGGGGGAGATGCGCAAGAGGGAGTAACTGCGCGATGCCCTTCCGTCCCGCTCCGGCCTCGAAGCCTCTGGCACGTGCTTGGCTAGGGGCGCGCGAACCGGGGCGCTGCAGCCATCACCTCCCGCGCCCTCCCCGCCGCCCCATCGCCCATTGTATTCCTCGCCAGGCCCCCCGGGGAGCGGGGCGCGGTTCTGCCCAATCCACATCGGCCTCCTCTCTCCATGTCTCGGTCACGGGGCGGCCGCGAGCACGGCGGGGTGTTATCTGCGCCCCAGCCCTGCTCCTGCACTGCAGGAGGCGGAGGAGGACCCTGGCCCCGCACGGCTCGCATCTGAGACCACTGGGCCAGGGGTGCGCTCGGCCTGCCCGAGCGAGTTTTCGGAGCGGCCGTGTGTACTGGGAGCAGCGCGTGTCCGTGCGCCTGTGCGCTGTGGGGCGGCCAGGAGAGGTGGCCAGGCTGTCCCTCAGGGATCAAGTTGACAGGCGCTCCCTCCTCGGCTGGGAGCTCTGATTGCAGATTCGAGGAAACAAAATAGCAATTGTAATTACCGGGCTTTGATAAGATAAAGGAAGGAGGGAGCCGGCGGGAGGCGCGCGCTAGGGAGGGAGCGAGGGCAGCCCGCGGGACATCTGTGTCTGTCAGTCACCAGAGAGCCGGGCCGAACCGGGCGCCTGCTGCTGGAGCGACCCAGCTGCCCCGGTTCCCTAGATACATGGACTTCTGGGGAACCGGGAAGAATCTCGGTGGTGGGTAGAGGCGGCTTCCTGGGAGCCTGGCACATATGAAGGAATTTGGTCCCGGGAAGTAGGATCACAACGCTGACCTCCGAGCCCTCAGGCCCCGGGATGCTCACCGTCTCCGGGGAGAGGGAAGGCAGGCGAAGATCACTGAGGTTCGGCTCGGTCTCTGGACCTCCTGGGGGCTAAAACCAGGGTGGCACTCTGGTGTGAGCCAGGATCTCTGCCCCACCTCCAGCAGGCCAGGTACCCAGAGGCGTGGCTGTGACGCCAGGCTCAGGCACACATAGGCCACTGGGTGGGCTGGCAGCTCCGACCCAAACCTGGGAGACTTGTTTTCAGAGGGCTGTGTGCATGTAAGGAGAGGCTTCCTGCTCTCTCTACATCCCGTCCTTCCTTCACACACAGTTTCAAGGGCCTGCTATGTACAGGGCATGCGGTTAGCTGTGAGCAGAGGCATCTTGCTTGCTTGGAGCAGTTCAGAGGAAGGCAGACGACAAGGGTGGCAGTAGCCCTAGCGGAGCCCAGTGAAGGCAGTGCGCTGGCCCAGGCCGGGGGCAGTGAAGCCCACCCAGCCTGTCTCCCCCAGGGCCTGCATCCCAACCGGTGCAGAGACTGCCTGCCCAGCTTTGCTAACATGCTCGGTGACTGGTGGTTCTCCTTAAGAGTACTGTCTGTTGGGAAGGGGCAGATCTCCCTGGGGAAGTTGTCCATGGGCTGAAGTTTAAATGCTTGGCCAAGAAGTGGCCCATTATTCATTCACTCACTCTTCCATTCGCTCATCCCAGGAACACTCATTGCAGGACTGCCCAGCTCCGCGCCAGGGGCTGCCGGTTCCCTGTCGGAGTGAACAGCCTGGAGAGTCTAGGTGGGCTCAGCTATTTCTCTGAGGAGAGGTGAGGCATGGGGAAGCACTCTCTCACACTTCCCTTCTGGGTGTGTCTCCCAGTGTGCATTTATGGCCACGAGTGGGCAAGGTGGGCAGAAAAGGGTCCCAGCCCCTGCAGCCCTCCACAGGGGTCTGCAGGGCCCGGCGAAGTTGTGGGAGGGCATCAGCGGCTCCACCTGCCCTTGGGAATACCTGTCCAGGGCACCTGTGCCACCCGGCCGCTCACACACAGGCACTCAGACTGGGCGGAGAAGCCCGAGGCGGGGGTGGGAAGGTGTTAACCAAGCCTCGGTCTTTCCGCCCTGTCCCGCAGTCCACGCGCAAGGCCCGCGGCCCTCGCCTGGTACACACACGAGTACAGAGCAAGCCCGGGACTTGGAGGGGGAAGGGCTGGCGGCCTGGCTCTAAGTCCCCTCCCCGGGAAGAGCTGCTGAGAGGTTATTTTTGCCCCTGCTGCCTGCTGGATTTTAGGTGGGGGCAGTGGCTGTGGGTCCTCCTCTCACAGCTCCGACCCCTCCGAGCTTCGGGCCGACGGGGGCAGGAGTGATGTGCGAACGGGGTCCCCGAAAGACAGCGGGGAGACGGCAGGGCGGGGCCCTCGGCGGAGATGCGGGGCCGGGTCCCTCGCTCCGGGGCCGGCGCCAGGAAGAGCCCGCCCCGCGGGGAGCGCCCGGCCCGGGAGCTTGTGGGGGCCAGGCGGGCCCGCGAAGGGTCCACGCCGGCCACCCCCGCCTCTCGCGGGGCCCAGCCCCTCCCCTGGCCCAGACCCCAATCCCAGGCCGTCGGCGCCCCGCCCCGCCCCGCCCCCGCCGGGCTGCGACCCGGCCCAGCTCCCCGCCGGGGCTGCGGGTCCGCTGCCACACCCACCGCGCCCTGCCTCCCCGCGACCCACCCACCCCGCGCCCGGTACCCGCGCCCGCCCGGCCCCGCGAGCGCGGCACAGCGACCCAGCGCGGCGGCGAGCACGACGCTCCCCTCCGGGACCCGCGCCCCGGCTCCGCCGTCCGCCCCGGCTCCGCCGTCCGCCCCGGGCGGCGTGGACCCGGCCGGCATGGGCCGCCCCCGCGCGCTGCGCTGCCTGTGAGTACCGCCGCCCCCGCCCCGCCCCGCGCCCCGGCGCCGCTCACGTCCGCTTTTGTCTCCGCAGGCTGCTGCACTTGCTACTCCTCGGCCTCCGAGCCCAGGTGAGGCGCGGCGCGGCGCGGGTTCGGCCGGCGACCCACGCGGGGCGGCGCAGCGGGCGGAGCCTCGGCCCCGAGGTCGCGCACCGAGCGGCGGCCCGGAACCGGGCTGCCGGGGCCGGGCGGGGGCGGGACCTGGGCCGCACCTGGGCCGCCGGGACCGCGGCGCGGGCGTGGGGAGATCGCGGCGGGCCGCCCCCTAACAGAGCCCTGCTCCTCCAGGAAGGCCCGGGCGGGGGCCCCGCGCCGGGCAGGGAGCCCGCTCCTCGGCTCCGAGTCGGCCGCGAGCCCCGGGCTGCTCCCCAACAGGTGGGTCCGGGTCCGGGTCTTCCCCGGGCGGGCGGGCGAGGGGCCGCTGGCCCTGGGCGGAGTAGCATTATAATGGCGTGTTGTGTATTTTTCAATTTCCTAAAGGTAACTGTTCAGTCCTCACCCAATTTTACACAGCATGTGAGGGAGCAGAGCCTGGTGACGGATCAGCTCAGCCGCCGCCTCGTCCGGACCTACCAGCTCTACAGCCGCACCAGCGGGAAGCACGTGCAGGTCCTGGCCAACAAGCGCATCAACGCCTTGGCGGAGGACGGGGACCCCTTCGGTAAGGCGCCGCTGCAGGCCCTCCCGCCCCCCGCGGGCTCCGGGCTCCGGGCTCCGGGCTCCGACCGAGGAGCTCAGGCGGCGCAGAGCGCGGCCGGACCGGAGGAGGACGGCCTGCAGGGGCCCCCTCCCTGCCCAGCCCAGGGCTGGCTCAGGGTCTCGTCCCGCCCTCCCCGCCTGCAGGTGGAGGCAGGGGCTTGAGGGAAGGACCCAGGTTTGAGGGAAGCTCTTGAAAGAAGATGCGTCCCGGTGCCCATGGAAGGAGAGTGGAAAGGGCCAGGGAGCGGTCTCCCACCTGGGCAGAGGAGGACAGGTCCTCCTCTGGCTGAATCCGAAGGGCCAGTTACACCTGGGCCGCTGCATTGGACCCCAGGCCAGCGCCGCAGGTTGGGGCCCGGGGCTTCCCGCGCGGTGGTGAGACAGGGAGCTACTTGGGCAGAGGGGCTGAGGACTGATTGATTTCTAAAACATTCGATATTCCTGCCTTGAAACGGGGCCAATTTCCAGTCCTAGATGTACCAAGAGGAGAGCAGGCCTTCTAGGCGGCTGGTGTTTTTGGAGAGCCATTATTGTGAGTTTAAAAACCTTTAAATAATGACTGAGTTAAACAAGCATGAAAGGAGAGAGGAAGACTCTATTAAAATGTAATAAAAAGGTGAGGCGTTTTAAGAGCTAAGAAGGAAAATGAAGAATGATATAAAACAGAAAAAGCACCAGTTTTTTTTCAGATGTGGAGTTTGAAAGGAGTTTCGAGTCTGTAAATGTTAAAAAAGAGGTTCAGGATTGTTCTCTATGAATCTCTGGAGAGACCCTCGCGTCTGGCAGAGCGATTAAAACTCTTCTTACTTTCACCTTTTTTAACATTTCCTGAATACTTTCTCCTCTTCTCAAGCCAGTTTGGGGGATCGAGTATGTCTCACTGCATTTTTTCTGCATCGACGTAGCTGACTTCCCTTCAAAGCTGGAGGAGGAGACATAATTTTCCTGGGATAAATCTGTCACTGGGGTGGAAGAATAGGTTTGAAAATGTTAAGCTTTGCAAAAGCCTGGTTGGGAAAGCTGCTGTAAACTGGGGCCCCAGGTCCCCAGACCAGTCCGGGCCGGAGAGTGGGGCTCTCTGGGGGGGGGTGGAGGCTGCCGGCCTGGTGACCAAGCCCCCCGCTGGGCTGACAGGACAGGGCCTGCAGTCCCTTTGTCCCTCTGTCCCTGCTTGCTCCTTTCCCAGCTTCCAAGGAAGGGCATGAAGGCTGGCCCCTCCAGGGTTTGCCCGATTGGAGCAAATGGTCCAGAACCCTTGGATTTTGGGGAGGGAAAGGGAGGCCAAGCTGGCGGCAGGCAGATTGTCTTCAGACTTCAGAGGAGATCGGCTGGAAGTGTATCTCCTCGGATCCAGGCGAGGCTTCCCGGGTTCCCTGGGCCCGACCTGCAAGCCAAGGGTCAGAGCTAGAGGCCCCAAGAAAACTGAGGCCCAGGGTATGGGGCCAGGGCCAGAGGAGTCTGGGGAGAACAGAGAAGAGGTCCTGATGGGTTCCTATGGGCTCAGGAAGCAACCGGAGCACCCACTTTATCCCTACCTGCCCTGTTTGGCTGGAACCTTCAGGGTGGGCTCCTCTTCCACTTCTCCAGCCCTCACCGCCTGAGCCCTCAAAAGCAGCCACTCTGGCAGGCAGACCAGAGTGAGGTGAGCAGCCTGGAACCAAAGGAGAGGTGGGTGGGCATGAGGGGCGGTGGCTGGGCCAGGCTCCTCGCCCGTGTGAGGAGGGTAGATCCTCACAGGCAGGCGGCGAAGGCTGCCTTGCTGGCCTCAGTGTTTTCCACCCCTGGGACTGGTTCTTGGACAGAAAAGCTCCAGGTGTCGGCACAGGGTTCGTCCCAGAACTGCTTTCTCAAGGAGGGCAAAGCCTGGGCTGCCGCACGGAGGTCAGGAAGGAGGCTCGGGGCTCCATCCCTGAGCTGGTTGGCCCTTGCACTGTTCCCAGAATGCCTCTGAGGGCACAGAAAGGTGCCTGGGACAGCTTCCTGCACAGCGAAAGTCTCAAGGCCAGGAGGTGGGAAAGGCACAGAATTCTGCCCCTGCCTCTGGCCCTCAAGGGTTTCTCTTCTCCTCGCCACAGAAAGTCCTGGGCTGTGGTGGCAGTGGCGAGGGGTGTTTGAGAAATCCGGCTGGGCTGGAGGCCAAAGGCGAAGACAGTTGGGGATGTTGATTCTGGACACGGGCTGAGGCCTGGTTCCTGGGGTTCCCAAGGCAGCCTTGAGCGGCGTGTGGGGAGATCGGTCGTGCTGCCCGGGCTGGAGGCGGAGGTGGCCAGGGCCGTGAGTCAGGTCAGGGCGCTGTGCCTTCAGCCTGGGGACTGGAGGTGGCCGCCGTACCTGGAGGTTCATCACAACCTGTGACACACTCACATGGAATACTCAGAGAGGGGAGGACCCTCGGGTTTTCTTGATTAGCCGTGGAACTCTGACCAGATTAAATTTTCTTTCGAGCCTCAACACAAAAGTTATCACTGTCTGATTTGAAGAGGGCAGAGGGATGCAGATCAGCTTCCTCTGTCTGATGGACCCAGGACCCTTCTGTGGAGCCCACCTTGTAAACTGTGACCCTGTCCAAGCCCCTCTGTAAACTCAGGGTGGGGTCGGTCTGCAGCCCAGAAAAGTGGCATGGCTTGGGGTCAGGGCTGCACAGCGCGCCATACTCCAGGGCTGGAGTCCTGAGTGCTGGCCCTCGAAGTGGTTGCTGCTGGGATGTGACCCATCCTTGGGGACAGGCTGGAGTGGCAGGGTCAGGTACCTTCCAGTGACCACCCCACACCTTCCCTGACAGCAAAGCTCATCGTGGAGACAGATACCTTTGGGAGCCGGGTTCGAGTCCGTGGGGCTGAGACAGGTCTCTATATTTGCATGAACAAGAAGGGGAAGCTCATCGCCAAGGTGAGGTTCGGAGGCGAGATGGGCTCAGGGCCTGGGGCCACCTGGGCTGGCCTAGCTCCCCCGGGACGCTCCTGGGTGCTGATCTCAGTCAGGTGTGCAGAGGTGCAGCCCCGGGGTTCCCCGGTGGATGGGGTGGGTTTGGGTGAAGGACACGAAGGAACAGGAGAGTCGAAAAGCCATGGAAGGAGGACAGAAAAGGAAGGCTAGGGCGGGGCTGGGGGTGGTGGTAAATTCCATATATCTTTTTAACAAATCGCCAAATTGCTTTGCTATTATGTCCAATTACATGGTACCAGCATTTGGAATGTTCAGTAAGCCGCAGGCCCGGCCCCTCAGCGGCGCTCTGGAATGGCCCTGTTAGTCACGGCTCCTCTCGGGCCTGGAGCGCCCGGCTTCCTGGGCTCAGGGGGCTTGGGACTCAGTCTCCTCCTGGGCCCCCCTCCCCCACAGGCCGGGAGCAGAGTCCTGAGGGGCTGCAGGCGGGTGGGCGGGGCAGCGGGCCTGGCGACAGGCCAGCTCCGGGGCCCTCACTCTGCGCCTCTGCCTGGGCCCGGCCATGTGTCACTGCTGCCCAGAAGGACAGGAAGTCGCCGGGTGGGCTGCAGGTTGTGAGGGATTAGAGAGCGGGTGCTCGGGCAGGGGCTGTGGCCGGGCCCTGTGCCCTCGCCATCTGCCGGGTGCGTACCTGCTGTCGGGCGCTGGCACGCTGCCTCCTGTGGGGGCTCCTTAACCGCGTCTGGGCCTCCTACCTGCAGAGCAACGGCAAGGGCAAGGACTGTGTGTTCACGGAGATCGTGCTGGAGAACAACTACACGGCCCTGCAGAACGCCAAGTACGAGGGCTGGTACATGGCCTTCACCCGCAAGGGCCGGCCCCGCAAGGGCTCCAAGACGCGGCAGCACCAGCGAGAGGTGCACTTCATGAAGCGGCTGCCCCGCGGCCACCACACCACCGAGCAGAGCCTGCGCTTCGAGTTCCTCAACTACCCGCCCTTCACGCGCAGCCTTCGAGGCAGCCAGAGGACTTGGGCCCCCGAGCCTCGGTAGACGTCCTGTCCCCGGGCAGGAGAGGGACGCTGCAAAGCAGGGCAGGTGCTGGGGACCCCTGAGTTCTAGCTGTTGATAGCATTTGCTGTTGGGTTTTATTGCTGGTTTTTTTTAACAAAAGAGAGGATCTATTTTTGTATTCCACTGGCTGTGGTGTGTGTGTTCTTAGCTCGCAGGAAGGCCGGTTAGGGGCCTGGCGCCCAGGCTTGGGGTGGGCACTGCAGTCGGACCGAGGTGCCCGGGGCAGGCAGCAGCAGGCAGTGGGCCAGGCAAAGGTGGGTCCATCAGTTCTTTTAGGGATGGGGGCCATGCAGGTGGTTGTTACCGGTTATCAAATGATTGAAATATTCAACTTATTTAAATTAGAAATGTGAGTTGGAGGGTGAGTCCTACCAGATGGGGTCACACACACGCAGGCTGCCCAGGGTGGCTGGCAGTGTGTGGCAGGCACAACAGGTCAGGCACCAGCTGACTGCGGCATCCCTCCAGCCTGACCGGGGACCCTGCCTGTCAGCTGCCCCCGTCACTGTCACTGGAGGGATTTCCTGGGAGGACAGAGGCAGGAAAGGGGCCAGAGAGGCTCTGAGCTGGTCCTGGATGCTCCCAGACAGCCGTCAACAGAAGCCACTGTGGACATTTCCCCCGGCCACGTCGGCCAGAAGTGCTGGGCCAGCACCACTCCAGGGGCCGGGCTCTGGACCCTGTCTTTAAGGAGGAGCCCCTCTCTGTGGTGGCCTTCGAGAGAAGGGCAGAACCGGTTCAGTCTGAGAATCGGGCTTCCGAAAACAAGAGCAGCTGCCAGGGCCAGGGTGGCGCCGCGTCAGAGGGGACTGCCCGGCCGGGGTGACTGGTGACGAGGCAGCAGTGCTAACTCAGATCGGGGCCCAGAGCTGTAGGCAGGAGCTCCGGGCTCCAGGAGGAGCCAGGTGCCAGGCAGGCCCTGAAGGGAGGCTCGGGCCAGAACAGAGCTCAAGCCAGGCAGGGCCTGGGGCAGCAGCAGTAGCCGAGTTCCTTGGAAGAGCCACCAGGAGGGACGGCTCTGCAGGAAGGAAGTGGCGGGCCAGGCAGGGCGGGCAGCTCTCGCGTGGTGGCTGGGGTAGGTGGTGGTGAGGTTGCTGTCACACTGCTGGCCTGAACACCTGAGCCTCCCGTCCAGTCTTCGGAGCCTCCCTGGCACAGGGTGGCCCCAGGTCCAGGCTCAGCCTTCGAACGTACCAGCAGGTCCAGGGCTCAGTGGAAAGCCTTGGGCCTCTCAGAGGGGCTGGGGACCCTCGGGCTTTACCACCCTTTCTCATGGGCTATAGGAGGGCCAAGGGGCTCTGAAGGGAGTGGGTTGTCCTGGTGCACCAGGAATAGGGGTGTGGGGGGTCTAGACATCTCTCTTCCAGCTCCCCCAGCTGTTGGTGCCTTCTCTGCTCCCCTCCCCCTTTAATTAATTCTGGGTGAGCAGCCTGGCTTTATTGTGCTAGGAGCTGGGGTCTCACTGTGGGAAAAGTCACACCTGCTGAGCAGCTTCTGATGCCATGCAAATGAAGAGACGTCCAGGAAACGCTTTCATCTGCGGTCGCCTGTCCAGCCCCCAGCCAGCAATTACCCACATTTCATTTGTTTGAGAGCAATTCCTGGGGGAAGCCACAGGGTAGGAGGGCGTCCAGGGTGGGGTGGAATGTCAGGCTGTCCGCCTGTGATCCTGGCCATAGAGCGGGCAGGGCTGGGCTGGGGCTGCCGCTGGTTAGGCCGAAGCTAGACCTCTAGCCCCAGGGCCAGGGTGCCTGGGCTGGGGTGCTGGGTTGGAATCTCCGCCTATCTTGGTGTCTGGGGAGACAGGTGAGCTGTGTGCAGGGCCACAGCTGTGTCCAGGGAGGCCTGGGCTGGTGGGGACAGGTGGACAGCAGGGTGGGGCCGTCTGAGCCAGGCCAGGGACCCGGGAGCTGAGCTGCAGCACCCACCAACTAGTTTCTCTGGAGTAGCTGCCTCCACAGCCCTCGATGATCGAGTTTTACAGCCCACTCAAGCTGCAACTGGCCACGAATCAATCATTACCGGCACTTAGTGGTTTGATAGTTAACAGCCTGAACTGAAGCCAAACTGGTTGTTAACTGTGATAACAACTGATTTCAAGGGGTTATTGCCGGCCCAATATGCTCGGCCCATTTATTTCAGGGAAAACAAGCATGGAGCTGTAGCAAGGCCTAGAAAGGGGAGAACCGTGCTGTCCTCAGCCAAAAGGACGGCCACTGTCCCAGTGGCTGCTGGCCTCACGGGCCTGGGCCGCAGAGATCCCTTCAGACGCTGCCTCAGGCCCTGAGGGCTGTGTGCAGGCTCTGTCCTGGAAGAAGCCCCCATCCACCGCCTTTATTTGGCCTTCGAGTCCTCCTGTGCTCTGCTGGGGACAGAGGCGGCCCATGGGGAGGAGCCAGGCCCGTGCCAGCCCTCTGCTTGTCCCCACCCAGCAGGTGGGGCTCCCGGAGCCCTGCCAGGTCCAAGCCAGAACCATGCCTGTCATCTCAAAGCCAGCGCGGCCCGGCTCCAGTCTCGGCGGGAAGGAAGGAGACATCATCTCCCGCAAGGCAGCACCCGCCTCCCTCCTACGCTGGACCACAAGGAAGTGGCCGAGGCCACCGCCAGCATCGCTCTGGAAGCTGCGACGGCGAGGAGAGTCAGGGCCGCCCTCCCTACATGGATGCCCGTGGCCAGGAGCCCCAGGATGGGCGGACGAGGGTCAGCGCTGGTGCTGAGAGTCAGTCTCCACCCAGAGGCCCAGGCTGCCACCGAAGGACTGAAGGTTTCACACTCATTCTGTTTATTCATCCAATAAATCTTTACTGAGTGCCTACTATGTGCCAAGCTGTGTTCTGGGCAGAAATAAGGAAACATGAGAGACAAAACCCAGCTAGTAGGGAGCTCACCTTCCTCACAGGTCACAGGGACGGGGTCCGCGCCAGTCCAGAGACCGCAGTCAACGTGGAGGGCAATGCCGCCACCGCCTGGGTCCTGGGTGTCAGACCAGAGCCGGGCGGAGCCCACGGAGGGGCAGGCAGGGCAAGGCTGGCCCCAGACAGGGAGAGGGCAGCACAGGTGGAGTGGGGGCAGCGCTGCGGGGTGATGAGGGAAATCACATTGGCCTCTGAGAAGGCTGCGGCTCTGCCTGTCAGCAAGTGGGAGCCCAGGGGGCTGGGGCAGAGCCACGCTGAATGCGGGAAGCTTTAACCTGAGAACAGACACGGGGTGGGGGCTGGGTAGGGAAGTTGCTGCGGTAATCTAGGCGAGCAGTACGAGCATTGGCAGGCTGAGGCAGGAGGATTGCCCAAGCTCAAGGCCAGGCCGAGGTACATAGCGAGACCCTGTCTCCAAAAACAGAACAGAGGACTGGGCGCTCAGCTCAGTGGCACCGCGCCTGCCTCGCAAGCACAAGGTCCTGAGTTTGATCCCTGGTGCCCCCCACCATAAAAGGAGCGGACTGGGAACAGTGAGAAGAGATTGGAGTTGTGGGTATTTTGCAAGTAGAGCTGACAGGGTCTGCTAACAGGTCTGGACGTGGCTTATGTGGGAAAGGGATCCAGGAATTCTTCCACGAGCACGTGGGAGAGTGGAGGTGCCACTGCTGAGAAGAGGGGTCCAGAAGGCAGGGGTGGGAGTGTGGTGTGGACACACGGACCTGGGCTAAGTATCCAGAGGAGGTGATGAGCAGCAGCTGAGGGCGAGGGCAAGGTGGAAATGTGGCAGTGCGAGCAGAGGGTGATTTCAGAGCCCAGTGACCACAACTTTTCCTAAGGAGCGGTTGGAGATAGAGGTGAGATCTAGGCCTGGGCCTTGGTCTGTTACAAAGGTCAGAGAGAAGGGAGAGCACGGGCAAAGAAGCTAGAGGAAGTGGTGGCACAGGCCTGTGACCCAGCACTCTGGGAGGCTGAGGCAGGAGGGTCAGGTTAGAGCCCAGACTGGGCAACTTAGAGACTTAGTGAGACCCCATATCAGAACAACAAAAACTGTTTTGGTTAAAGGGTTGGGGATGTAGCTCAGTGCAAAGGCCCTGGGCTCAATCCCCAGTACAAAACCAAAACTAAACAACCCCAAATAAGCCGAAAAAACAAAGGTGGTAGCAGAGCTGTGGTTCAGGGGGTGGGAGGAAAACTGGGAGTGCTTTGTCCTGGTGACGGAGGAGAAAGGCCCATCTCCAGGCCTGCAGCTGTAAGTGGGGTTAGAGAAAACTTTTACTGTCATTGCATCTCCTTCCTACCTCCCAAGAGAGCAGGTAGTGCGTGCCTCGCTCGCTGAGGGACAGTCCGTGCCTAGGACGGGCCTGGCACTTCGTGCGTGTCCAGTGAATGTTCACCCTCACAGTCAAGGGGCAAAGTAGGCAGAGAGGATCCAGGGAGACGGTCCTGGCCCTGGGACGGGTGACCTCTCCCAGCGCTTCTCTTACTAAAGGAGCCCGAGGTCCACCTTCCCAGGCTGCAGCCCACATCTCCCAAAGGTGCACAAGGGGACGCGGAAGCCAGGCCTGTTAGGCTGGATATCCCAGAACCTCCCCAAATTCTGCTTCCTTTGCCGCCACAGGGTTTCCATAGCAACCAGGGCGCCTACAAAGGAGAGAGTGGAGGGGAATTAAGACCCAGGGCTGGCGGGGCTAAGTGGAGTGGGTGGGGCCAGACAGATGGGAGCTGCCGGGGCTCCAGGGGGCCCTGTGTGCCCAGGTCCTCTGAGGGTGGTGCCTACAGGAGCCCTTGGGTCGCCCCTTCTCCATCTGGATCTTGCTGACCCCCAAGGAGTGACTGTTGGCCTGGGCAGGCCCCAGAGCTGAGCCCACCCTGACACCTTGTGCCCAGCGGCGGACACTGAGCAAGGCTCTGCTCCGTCCTGCAGCCTGGCCCCTCCCTCAGCCCCTCTCCCCACAACAGCGAGGGAAGCTGGAGCCCCTGGGTCAGTTTGGGGGATTTGCGTTCCTGTCCTGCCTTGGCTGTCCAGAGCAGGAGCGGGGCAGAGAGGCAGGGCACTGCCCAGGCTGGGCATCCGGGCACTGGCAGGCCTGGATCCTGCAGGGCCAACGGGGGCCTGAGAGAGCAAGGGGCCAGCCTGGGCACTGCTGGGAGGAGCAAGGAGAAGCCGGGCAGAGCTCTTCCGGGGGGGGCTCGCAGGCTGCCCTCCCTGCACCCCACGGGTGGGTAGAGGACACCTGTGCCCAGGCCTGGGAGTGGCAGAGCAGCTGCCTGCTAGGAGATCCAGGGCAGCCCCCTGGAGACTGGTCAGGGACTTTTGAGGGTCACCACCAACTTCAGCTGCCTCTGCCCACATGCAGGTGCCCCTAACCATCCGTGTCCCCAAACCTCCTCTGCCGACTCCACCCTGTTCCAGTCTGTGACTCAGTTGGCTCAACTGTTTCTCGGCATAGGGGACCTGGGGTGGATCCCAGGCCTCGACTATGCTAGGCCAGGGCTTCTGCCATGGTGCTGCACCCCAGACTGAATCGCTTCAACCCGATGAACCCAGTCTTGTGAAGTCTTCCTTCTTGAGGGAATCCCGCACCCCAGCCTAACACACACCTGGGCCATCGGCACTGGTCCTGGGCTTTCTGCACACCCCACCCCCGAGGCACTGGCCCTCGGTAATGAAGAGCAGACTCATGAAACATTCACAGTGGGTAATGTGCCATGTAGGGTTTGCCTGATCCCAGTTCTGATCGAGCAGGCTGGGTCAGCAGCAGGCTGAGGCCTGGCTTCTCAGGGCTGGGCCACTGCTCTGCCTTGGGCTCAAGTTCCAGGCACTTCCCTTAAGCCAGGCCGGGTCCTCCTGGGGGCCATGGACAGGGTTCTGGGTGCTGCCACAGAGGCGGCTTCTGGGAGGGTGTTGGCAGTCCAGGGAGGAGCATGGCTCCCAAGGATGTTCTGAAGTGAGGTGGGATTGGGAGCTGGGACTTGGAGTGAAATTTGAAAGGCAGAATGAGCTGAGAGACCAAAAAGCTAAGAAACCCAGAGTTTTAGCTGGATGTGGTGGCACAGACTTATAATGCCAGCTCAGGAGGCTGAGGCAGGAGGATCACAAGTTTGAGGCCAGCC